AGAAGAAAACCGAATATTCTAGTTAAATGTGTACAAACGTTGATAGGATTGAGGTAAAAACATTGACAGGTGGAGTCAAACTTGGCGCATTCCTGTTATCGAACGATTAATCACATGAGAATGTGATTGTTTTACAATAAATGTTTTTGGTGATAGGTAGGGGAGAGTTGCTTATTTCGGACCACTTTTTTATTTTTCTCTCTTACACAAGCATAGAACATCGCAGGATATAAAGAGAAATGTAAAAAAGACAAGCATTATACGGTAGATTCTATGGTATATTGGTCGTATTGAACTCAACACAATTCAGTTCTGGTCATCCCAAATAAAATAGAATCAAATAGTTTTCGATAAATTATATGTTTATAGTTAGAGGATGAGCCTAACTTTCAAATTCTAGAACTGAAAATTCCAAGAATAGTTGCAATTCGAAAATCAGATATCAAAATATATGTATACATATATTCTTTTGTAGCTCGCACCGACAAAAAAATATAATTTATGTTTTTCTTAAATTTTTAGGTTTATTCTCCAATAACACTTGTCCACTATAAAGAAGCAAAGTATCAAGTCAATCTATTAATTTTGTTTCAACGATCATTTCATTATTTTTTGAGTTATTTTGCACTCCAGTTTGAGAAAGATGGTTTCGAAAAGAACGGATTGGACGTTTAAGAAGCATTATACCTATTATAATATTTATATTATTCGCTTCAAAATCGCGTATCGCAGTCATTTTTAAACATTAAAAAAAAAATTTTTTGGGGCATGTTTGTGAGACTATAAGGTACTTACTAAAAAATGCAAAAAAATGTTCGATTTGTTTTACCGATACAGTGGCCTGACCCCTTAACGTCCTAGTCGTATGGTTTTCTACTGATATCGTGCCTATTATCGTCCATTATTTTAGGTTATGTTATTAAGGTGTGCCTCCATTGTCCCAGCTTTTGCCGCGCGACGATAACGTGCAGCTTCACCGCACCATTGGTATCGAATTCTTAAAGATTTCAGCACAACGGAAATAACGTATTTGACGCACAACAGTAACGCAGCTTTAATAACACTACCTTTTGGTTATTGACCATTAATTTGGAAATATTCTAGTAGGGAAAATAATCTATGTTTATTAAGTTTCTATAAAACGTGAATTTTATAATTTTTAGAATTCTATAAATTTCATTTTTGCTTCAACATATTTCGGAACACTCTTGTTAAAAATATTATCATTAATGTTAAATGTTTTACAACTTTACAGGGTAGTTCACGCAACTTGTTCACCCTGAATAACTTCTTTCATTAATAACTATAGAGTATCTGCCTCTATAATGATATATTTCCATAAACAAGACATTCAAATCTGCGAGTATACAAAGTTTCAGCTAAATCGATGATGCCCTGACCTTGCACTCTCCTTTAGTAAGAGGCGCTTATAATTAATAGGGCTCACCCTGTACTGACCGCTGTGTCGTGTATGTTACACGCACGTAGTAAAGTATAAAGTTTTTAGGTGCAAAAACTGCTCTACGCGTACCAATTGATGTGGACGGACTGATTAATGATGGGGGTTATCTAGATTTTTCGAAATACAACATCGCACTGGCAATACCACTACTCCAAGCACACTAGCAATTTGCCGTGGTTTTTTTATGTTCTACCCAATCGCTTGGATGAATACTAATTGACCGCTATTAAGAATGTACAGTGTACACTTCGCTCTTTCTTTTAGGCCGACGCAAGCGAAATATTTGTCTTCATTTAATCGAACTACAAATATATAGAACTATTTGAAGATATGAAGCTGCGGTTTTTTTTTGTATTTATCATAAGTTCGATTACCTTTATTAATGCATTCTGCCAAAGAACAATTTTTAATTACAGAAATTATTATTTTTCTTATTTTGAGATAGCACGAAACAAGCAAAATTCCTGTCAAATTGTAAATGACGGTATTACATCTTGACTTTCCTTATCGTAAATGTACCATTAACTTTAAGACCATAAAGATAAGCTTACACGCCAGAGTACTTACTTTTTCAGAGTACCCTAATTTTTCTAAAGCATCCAAAAATGATGAAGCCTCCACGTGCGTCTATTCAACAGAAGCCTGCAAGTCGGTCAAATCAACATAGTAATTTATTAACACAGTATTTACGCGTAATTTTAATTTCCTCAAACCAGTGCATGGTGTCCTAAATATCTCAGAGCCTGATGTCTTATTTTTAAAAATCTCTGTAATTTCAAAGCTTATAGAGCAACTTCAGATTCCTTTATTTAAGTGGCATTCAAGGAGTTTGTATTCTCGCAAACCTACTTTTGAAGTGATCTGATTATAAGTTTACTTATTAATATCGTTAGATACAAAATGTAAAGCGAAGTGCTATTAGTTCAATTATAAGTGTCCAAGAAAGTTTAGTCCAAGAAGTTAGTGTCCAATGAAGTCCGTGTATTTGTTAAGGGTTGAAACCACCCCTCGAAGTTTCGACCCGAAAGTACTATCTCGAAAACCAGAGGAGATACATGAAAACTGCTAATGAACGAGGTTTGTGGTTTTTTATGTAGAATAATATAGTGCTAACAAATTGTCCAAAATATAATTTGTTTGTAACAAAAAGTTTCTGATCCAAACTTCGAGGGGCTGTTTCAACCCTTAAAGTCGCGTCGCAGCCGATAAAAAAAATTCGTATCCCTTATGTTTGACTGCTTAACAGACATACGAAGTTTCATCGAAATCGGAGAGGGACACTTCAGTGCCTTTCCTTGTGAAAATATGTCTGAATTCCTGAAGGGATCTCAGCCACGGTTGTTTTACCTCGAGTTTGGACTCAAATCTTGAGGGTCTGATGATGACGAGGAAAATAATAACTGTATCTAATAAATAAATAAACCGTTCTTTTTGTGTCGGGGTTTTCAAAAATTTTTAATTTAATATTATATGTGATCGATTTCGTATCCATTATCTTCTACATGACCATTCTTCGTTTCTAAAGTATGTATATTTGAGTTCTTTAATAAGATGATCACATAAGAACCTTTTGATCCATTGTTGGTTTCGATCATTAAATATATCTGTTTCTTACTGTATAATGCCGAACAATTGGCTACGAACAAATTATCTAACAAAAAGTGATTCATTATTAAGTTCACCAAATATTAGACAAAACCCTTTTTAAACAGTAGTGTGTCAAGTTTTCTCGTGTAAATCATCCACGGATTAACATATCATGGTAACACGAATATGTAACTCGGTCTTAAAGATGCGTGTGCGGTACCAGTGCGCTTTGCATACACCGGTGAATCACGTCTCGTTGCATGGTAGCCGTTAAAAGCGCCGTATATCATGTCACCGAAGGACATGAATTGTGGGTGGATCTGATTTGGAAGGAGCACTGTGGCAAAACTAAAGAGTCCACTATGCTAAACTGGACGAGCCTAACGAGCATGATTTCAATTGCGCGGATTGCAGCTGTGCGGCTGTTTTGCGCAATCGTTCCACTGTTCTGCGAGGGTACAATGTGAGCGCGAGACTTAAGAACAGCCACTGCCAACGAATCTAGCGTAACGATAGCATTTACAGACAATTTATCGAGTGATGAAATGGCTTGACACGTTTTAAGATATACATTGAGTAGGTTTGGTGTAGTAATTATAAAATGCTCGATTGTGTAGTGATCCAATGCGATTCGCAACACATGGCAATAATGAGGAGATTCATTCTTGTTAATTGGATCGATTGCACCTCCCACGGGCGATGTTTCCTTTCTAAAATTTGTCACGCAGCATGATTGTATCTGCAGTTCAAAATGACTTCCCGCGGTAACAAAAAGAGAATTGTGGTGTAGACACTTTGAAGGTATTTATAAACCGTATTACTGCAGACATAAACAACTATATTGATATTAATGCGTTGAGTGGCGGTTTCAACTATGTTTTTCACGTTGAAATGAAATTGCAAACTATCAAAACACGAGTACAGTAAAACATTAATTATGGAAACGCTCTGTTAATTGATGTACACCGGTGTGGTTGGACAGATGGTACAATCGGGAAGGAAGGAGATTCTACGTGATAAAATAAGTCGAAAATGTAGAATAACATTTTTTCTTCCGAGATTTAATTTTCGAGAAAATCGAATTCGAAGATTCATCTGCAACGCGTGTATTCGTGCTGGCAATAAGTGGAAACGGATTGCAAAGAACAGACGCGTTAGCCTATAGTCACCAATTCGTCATGGCAGTAAGTAGAAACTGAATGCAATGAACAGACCCGTTAGCCAAGTCCTATTCATTCGCACATGTATCCACCAGTTCTTTAAAGTCGATTTTCTCGAAAACCAAGTCTCAAATGAAAAAATGTTATTTTATATTTTCGATTTATTTTTTCACGTAGAATTACCCTCTATCCGGTTGTACCACCAATTACGGAACACCTTGTACCCTCGCGGGCAAACTCGGATTCCGCTAGGGGAAAAAGTGGCGTAGAAGAAAAGTCTCCCAGCACTTACTAAACTTATTTCAAGTACATAAATAAATGTTAAATAGGGTCTCCTACCAATTGGTATTTGGAATTACTAAAATGTATGCCAAATTAATATTCGATTCAACATTTATTTATGTACTTGAAATAAATTTAGTAAGTGCTGGGAGACATTTCTTCTACGCCACTTTTTCCCCTACCGGAATCCGAGTTTGCCTTCGAGGGTACAAGGTGTTCTGTAACTATGTAATCATGTATTCTCATATTGGTCTCTTTTTATTTTAGTGAACAAAAATATAAAGGAAACATGTATTGTTATTTTAGAAAGTTCAATAATACTTAACTTTTCAAAGTAGTAACATACAAATTGTGCCATGGTACTGTAGTTCAATTTTCAGTAGAGTATTATGCTATAATATAATAAATAAAGATCATTTGAAAAATGTAACAGTACAAATATAAAAATAAAATAAATAAATATAAACATAATAAAGAAAATATAACTCCACTCTTCTTTTATAACGATTTTATCGTATGGTGAAACGGTTGAATTCTTTTGAGTTCATAGATATCGTTCCATTCTTTGTTCCCTCTGTTTTGCGGTGCTTTTGCCACTTGTGACGGTACTCGTACTCGTCGCCAAAGAAATTCCACATAGATAAACTTTCTTCGCATTTGACACCTAAAATAAATTTTGTTACTGTAACCTTCATCTAGTAAGCGGCTGCTGTAGATGTTAAAAAAAAAAATATTCTCAAAACGAGAAATTTTCGCTTGTTTAACATTCGGTTTATATTAATAAACCATCCTGAAACCTACCATATTGATACAGGATAAATCAAGGAATTCTTGAGATGTAAAACTTTCGAAAATTTCATGTCATTATATATGTGTTTGTAACAAATGTAATGCCTTATCGTTGCTTAACTTAGTGTATACCAAATGAAAGTGCGGTTCAAGAGCTTTCAAATCAGCTCAAGATGAAGTCTGTAAACTAAACAGACCTGAAGACATTGATGTTTGAATGTAACAGGATTTTCAATTTTAAGCATTGTGTGCAATCTTTAATCGTTTATATTTTCTGAAATATTAATATTAAAAATCTGAAAAAAATCACACATGTTTCTCCGCCATACAGAATACGTAAAAAAAACTTCAACAAAATCGGAGTGGTGATCGAAAATTTTCCCTTTAAATTGTCCCGGTTGACGTGGAATGACCCTTATACAAAGTGTTAATAAAATGGTGGGACATTTTCACAGAGTGGATTGTACATCCAAAATTAAGACGAAAATGAGATGTTAATTGTCGAAAATACGGGCGAAATACGCCTAAAATACGTCTACATAGCGGGTTATTCAACTAGGTAATAACTCGTAGGTTATTTGTTGTACGAAAAGATTGTTCAAACAAATGTTGCATGGTTTTCCAGGCGAACCTACAATGCTGTAATCTGTTTCTTGTTACTTTGCTGTTTTATTGAGATATGAGGGTCATCTTCAGTTTTTTAAATAGAATGCCTAATATTTTTTCTCAAATTCAAATAAATCACCAAATTCTGCGTAAAAAGGTATTACACCAAATAGGGTTTGAAATGAATGATTCGTAACATATCTTGTGATACAAGTTGTATTTCAAACAGTGTTCGAAATATTGTCCATTATAATGAATGCACTTGCGTAATCGAATTATGAGTGATGGGAGAACATTTTCTAGTGTTTTTGCAGTTATTGCGGCACATGCACTAATAATACGTTGTCACATTTCTTCGGCGGTTGTTCGTGGCTCGCGATAAACTTCATTTTTTAATGTTCCCCAAAGGAAATAATCGAGCGGCGTTACTTGTAGGTACAAGTGATATGATCGGGCCACATCAGCTTGTGATTGGCACGGATGGCCACTATGCGTGCATTATGACAGCCTTTACATGATCGCGCCGGCCAATTACGTAAAAGGTTAACGTAAGGTTGGGAATTTTTAACATGGATTCTCTTTAACACAGGTCTTTTAATTTGCCAATGATAAAATAAGTCCAGCAAAGAGTAATTTTCACATACCTAATTGTATATGTTCAGCGTTCCACATGATGGATCTGATTCGCACATCCTTTTTTATCGGAAGCACATCGACAATCCGATCAAGGCTTGCGAGAACCGGCATGATAGTGTATCGATTCTCGTCTTCCCAGTAGGACCACTGAACGACCAGCTCTCCACTGCGCTTGTTCCAGGCTAAGTTCTCCACGGCACCATAAAATTCAACGAGACGATAACTCACTGGATCCAACTTGTTCACGTCCCAGAGCGACAGCGAAGCGTCGCCCAAGCCACCACCTACGCATAATAAGCCGCTTTCTTGCGGGTGCCAAGCTAACGCCTGAAATATATTTACCATAATAATTTCGGACATATTCTTTTGGATGAAAACTCTGGATCTGAACTCGTTGGCCATTTAAGTCAAATTTCACTTCAAACGTACCTAAGTACCAAGTATTATGAGAAGTATTTTCAATATCTTTCTGAACATATACATATGTACATATGTATATATAATACGTACTTACAAATATTTAACATGGGGTCATTCCACGCGACGTCGAACAGTTTTTGGAGTAACATTTCGGATTTTGTTGAAATTTGAACATGTTGTAGTCCTTAGTGATATACATATAAACGTATCTTGAATGATTATTCAAAATTTTTTTAATTGTGGATCTATAGCTGTTTGAAATACAGTGTTAATCCTTTTTCAATAAATTAGGTATTGATGCCCGCTATTGTCCGACTTATATTCTGATTTAACTGTTACTTTAAAAAATGTTACTAAACAAAAATATTTTTGTTTTATGTTCTATCAAGTGATATCACACTGAAGTAACAATCACTGATTCTTATGAAATTTTGTTACCAAGTGGTTGTCATGAAAGTATTTGACACGTATTTTTTTGTATCTGCTATCATCCATATTGAAGGAATGAAAACAGACTTCAACGTTACGGGTGTGAAACAAGCTTGGTTGAATATCTCGAAAACTATTGGAGATACAAAAACGAGTTAAATGGCAGTATTGTGTGTTTTGTTATTAGGTATTCAGATATATTATTAGATTTCAGAAAAATTAATTTGTTTAAATAATGCGTTAAAAAGTTCTTCTTTTTTGTCAATTTTTCGGGTCAAGTCTGTAAAATCTACAATTTAAAGAATGTTGAATAATCTTTCAGGATACATTTACATATTACTAAAGACTACAACATATCCAAGTTTCAAAATCAAAATTCGATATGATACTCCAAATAGTGTCCGGCCTCGCGTGAAATGAGCCCATAAGGAATAAGCAAACAATTTTACAAAATCATAGAAAGTAATATATCGATTGATGTTATCTCTATTCTTGATATTTATCGATCTACTTTTTCACATTTTTATGTGCATTTACTATTATATGGGAAAATCGTTTAAAAACAAACCTCCTTGATATCTTATGTTGTATTGCTGTTACAAGAAACATGTATCAACGAAATATAGTTAAAAAAAGTTAAGTCGTCACAGCAGGAAACTTTGTTTCGATGTTATGAACATTAGTAGTACTGCTTTTAATACTTTCATTTTTCATATTTTACAATAATTGTTTACATCGTTTCTTATAATTTTGTAAGTGTTTATGAATGTCAATGAAATTATAATTTTTTAGTTTTCTCTTGAAAAGTTTACTAATGTACCAAGTCGAATAAATTTTCGGTTTCCAATTTTGCAAACACAAAACATTTCTTTGGAAGTACCATAGTAATATGAACTTAACTTACTTTAACAGGATTATAGTAGATAATGTCGATAAACGGTGCCAATTCTGGCCACACAAAGATGCGAATATTTAAATCCATTCCAGAAGACGCAAGATAATGATAGTTGTGCGAGAAGGTCATCGCTAATATTGTCGAAGTGTGCGCCGCTATCCAGTTAATTGCACGACCTGTTTTCGCCGAGTACGATGTAATCAGTGCTGTGCTGGCCCTAAAGGAATCCAGAAATAAATTTACATCTCCAAATCTACTACTGTACAACTACTAAATGGTAGGAAGACATAATTTTCGCGTTACGCGAGTGGATGTGATGTCATGAATGAAACGTCGAAATCTCTGAAATTACTTACAGGAGGTCCATTAATTTCGTGATAGTTACGTTTTACATAAATTTACACGAGACAGTATCAAAAGATAAGATTAAGATTTCGACTACGATCACTGTCTTTGCAGTGATCATGCGATCTATACATGGATGTAGTAAGTACTGGAGCAAACAGGTGCAAATAATTAACAGTAATTAATGTTGATTTCACTTATGTCATTCATTATACTTACACGACAATCTGTTGATCATTCTGAGACCAGCAGATGCAACGACCGTAATCTGAGCTCAAGCTAGCCACAGTCTTACATGTTCTAGTCCAGATATTTTTTTCTTTCCGCATGTCGTATAATTCGATTATGGACGGTAAAGTGCAAATGGCTAATAGATCACCTACAATAACAATTCATAAAATGTTATTGTATTATCTGTTCTTAAAATTATTATATTAAGTTTGCGGAAAAGGATTTTTGATTTTTACATGCTCGCACCTTAAACACGATTGTTTTTAATTAACGCTATTTATTAAAATTCTGTATACTCTTGTCTATATCATTAATATTTTTATATTACTATTTTAACCTATCGCTAGAGGTCATATTCCTTGGATTTATCCAGCATTAGATTTTTTAGTTCATTTCGTGGAATTATATGTATAGTGTCGAAATTTATATTTCAATGATGATATAATTCAAAGTTACATTTTTTGTTTGATTAGTTCAAATTAAATCATAAAATGTTCTCGTCAGCATAGTCTGCGAAAAAGAGAAGTTTGAAAAAAGTAGCGTAACGGAAACGTTAAACCTTTCTTTGATGCTTTCCTCAGCAGAAATGTCTGTTTTACCGTATGCTGCGGTTAGATTTTCTCCTAGACCCTTACTTTTCGAAATAAATTAAAAAATAATTGTTGTGCGTTTTGGATGTCCTTTTCACTTTGATCAGTATTTAAACATATTTAGATGTCTATAGTATAATAACAATTTACATAATTTTGTTCGACAGAGTCCCGAGAATTATTTCGTGAGAAAAGCAACTGCATAACAGTTACTATAAAAGCACAAAATCTCCAAGTTTAAAAATTTGCAATTTTTTAAAAATAAATTTTTTTAAAACTGTATGTGCTAGGAAAAACGGTTTGTATTCAGCTCATAAGGATCTATTAGAAATTGTATTACCTAGTGAAGGTAACACAATTTTTTACGTGTTAAACAGTATAATTGTAACTAACTCAAAAGTTGTATGTCTCCCTTCAGCCTAATATAACAAAATACCTTGTATCACCAGTAACAGATCGATATTTTTAATTATTAATAAAGATTTGCTTCCTTAATCCTGGAACATCGAGCATCAAAGCATCTAACAATGAAAGTACCGCAGAGGTTACACTCTAAGTAAATTATTATCTACAACAATATTTCTGTTATAACAATTTGGTAACTATTTAGATTATGGGAGGTAGCTCCAATAACCTTGACCTTGACATATGTTGTCAAGCTCACCTTTCTGAGTGACCTTGGGAAGGTTTTAGCCTTCCTTCGTTATTTTTTAAAAAGTAATTATCAAATAATTTTCACAATATAAAGGTGTACGTTTACTTCCATAATTTGAATTTTACCTAGTATAAACATTGTGTTAGTAGCATATCTGCTTCTTTAAGTGAGAAGAAGCCAAATGCGGAAACAGATGGTTATGGTTTTTTAGATAACAAATGAAATAAAATATAGAAATTAAGATAATTAATTTGACTGGCAAGCTAAAACAAGGGAATTAATAGGGAGGATAAGTTTCAGGATTTACTAACCAGCATGGTTCCATTTCAGCGCAGAAACATTAACGGCTCCCACTTTATCCAATTGTCCGACTACTTGAGGCGTGGTGACATCAAAAAATGTTACTGTATCCTGATTTGCCTCTGCTATTACGTCTTTCGAACTCCAGTCGACTAAACAGTAATCGAATCCTGCAAATTTTAGACAATTTATAAGAGTCCTTTTACAGAATTTAATTTATGCTGCACAAGTACCCTAAAATTATTTTTCTAAGAAATAAACGTTCCTATAATTAGATTTTACTTTATAGTTCAAATTTGTTTCTGATGAAAAATAGCTTATTACACATTTGTGTATCCTACAATTTCAGCTAACAAAGATCTTATTTAACGATAAATATTTATTGCCAATAATTGCAGTCGTAAGTATAAAGATAAGAAAAGTAGAAATTTATACAGGGAAGGAGTTATACTCATTAGTACAAATTACTTTAACATAAACTACTTACTTCGAAGTAATGAGGTCATAACTTACAATAAAAAAAAGTACAAGCGGTTTGGAAAAAAAATAACGGTGATGCAAAAAATTAAACAAGAATTATCATAACAAAATTTCCATGTAAGATACTCTCCTTCTCAAACCATTCAAACTGTGTTTGAAATATTTCTCATATCATTAAAAAAAAACAAGATATTTAGGTGTTCGATCTTAGGTGGGACACCCTATATGTATACTAAAATGTATGGCCAATGCTTGTGATTCCATGACAGAATGAAAACCATGAACATAAATAAACGATATGTGGAATTATGACTACCAAACATGCATGTTTTGTAATTGTTATTGCAAGGAATTCTTACGTGAAAGTCTTCGGGCGTCAGGCATATCTAATATGCAAGCCGTACTGGGTATTAATGGCTTATTTCGAGGCTTTGATCTCCACATTCCATTTTTGTAATATTCTTCATCCCACAGTTCTCTAGGTAGAGTTGCTAAGTTTCCAGGCAATTTGATCGCCGATGACACGTGATTGGAATACAGCACTTTTTTCTGCCCCAATCCTGATATAATATTTTCTTTCACCATTTGTTGGTGCATAAGTCTTTTGCGCCATTTCGCCGTTAGAGTATCTACCTACATCATTTGTTTATTGTTAGCAATATATACAGTTAATAGAAAAAGCATCTTAATTGAAATTATCTGTTACGACTCGTGATTCATTCGTTGAATATTCGGAATTTGTTGATGTATACACGTAATATTCTAACCAAGTGCCGTCAAAGTGTTAATATGCAGCGTATCGTTCAATTTGATTATGTCTTCGATCGTATAAACCATAGATGCGTTCAGTATTCTGGTATTACGCTACCATCGAAGGTAATGTTGAAGTTTTAATAATGGTGTTTATTTAACAATAATTAAACATTCTGTATTTTATTCTTACTACGAGTAGGCACGCGTTTATGAATATATATAGGCACAAGTTTATGAATAGAGAGCAAATACGATAGACATGCTTTCTATTTTCTTACTTCCCGCCCCTGTAAATATTGTAATGAATTAGATTTAATACATTTGGTATCTACTATTTAACAATAAAGTATTGTTATTGAATTACAAAAACGCCTTTTTGTTGTTCAAAGGTAGCTACATTGATTTTTCTCTTAACTACACAGCATTACTCCTTTATAGTAGGACCTGTCTATGTTGTCGCAATAATGTACCCACTGCGCGTGGGTTTTAGCCATTTGCGGACGAGTATCGGCAAACAGTCGCCTAAGGATTTATGGCACTATTGCAGACGCATTACTGCAAAGAAAGTCTTATTTGACTGGCACTATACAAGTCAATCGAAAATATATTCCAAATGAGATTGATAAATCAATATTTTCCGAAAATAAAGTCATTGAAAACTCAATGGTGATTATCGCAACGAATGCAAAATTAGTAACCAAATTTGTCGCAATGATGAGGGTAAAAGTGCTGTACATTCTAACAGAGAATTCAAAGATGGAACAGAAGAGTCACGATAATATTAAAAAATAAAGACTGCATGTAAGCGACTGTTCTGAAAAAATAGAACATGCCATACGATACAGGTGTATAAACCTTCCAATTCGAGTATTTTTTGTAATTTTTTTTTAGGCTCCCTTCCTTCAGCCGTCTGCTCGTGAAAGGGAAATTGCCGCGACGCGCGATCTCTTTTCTCAAAAATATGTGACCATCTACGACTAATATTTTACTAATATTTTCGAAACATGTACGTACATCAACGACCCCGCACAATTTCATTGAAATTGGAATGGAAGACTTTAGAGCCTCCCCTTGTAAGCAATAATTATCTCCCCCCACTTTAAAAATAAATATTTTGTTTAGCCGAAGGGAGTCGTTATTTGAACATTTCATTCTTCAATTATTTCGAATGCTTATCAGATACTTATTCAGAAGTATTAGATATACGCTTTTTCGCATACCTGTTCGAATACATCGAGTTGCTCCTTTTCCACCGTGTCAGCTTCCTCCCTTGTGAGAAGATAATTTGCAGCTTCCATATTATATCGACTTCGTTTAACTATAAATCTGTCCCCTGAAGGAACCTGTTTCGGAATCAGTTGCGAGTGTTTCTTAACGATCTCTGTGTTGGATTGTAAGATAGTCGATCGAGAATTGGGAGCCAAACATCTTGTCAGATAGTCCTGAAAAAATGAAAATGAAGATTGTTACTGGCGAGCTTCAATATGGCCTATAAAATATTAAAAATTCTTTTCAATTGCCTTGCTCACATTTTGAATATGAAAGACGTGCTTATTGATATCAAATAGACTGTACATAAAAGTTTATTGAAAATATTCTACTTGTTGACAGTTCTATTCACTATTAGATGTCATGATACTTACAAACATAGTGATTTCGAGTACAGATTCATGTTCACAAGCTGAAGTTGGTTTACAATACAGACGTGATTTCCTCGCTAATATTTTACAGCCACCGTTAATGAAAAAAAAATATATAATGTGCTTTTACTCTATATATTCGTTTTATTTAACTGACGTTTTTGTTGTGACGTTAATTTTTACCGATACATTCGTAAATAATATTGCTTATTATGTTTGCATAGTCAACTTTCGATGTTTGTGATCACTTCATAGAAAGTACGTTTGTCTAGAAATGTTTTTTCACTTCCTCCCACTGGTTTAAATGTACGGTACTCCAAATTACAAAAAAAAAAAACGATTACTTAATGTCAATTATAGCAACGTCTCTGAAAGAAACTCAAATGACGTAGAACCGGGAGTAAAGAGTAATAAATCGCGATACAGACGATTTAAATGGTCGATCGTTCACCGTTATGGCCGAGAGAACGGCCTCGAGGGAACGCCATCGTAACTCGGAATTAGGATGGCACCTTTCAGCTTTCCCGTTTAAAGTATCGTCCCGGAAATCCAGGCAGAAGCACGTTGCTCGTGGCCGTTCGTGCTGCAGAAGAAGAGTCAGTGTATTTATAGGAATTTCTCGCGATAAGGCTCGAACACCGTCGCACACTGAGAGACCAATAAATACGAACTTGCATGTTTGAAAATGCAAGTCCGGTTATAAGTTATGGTCCTGATATTTTACCAGTGTCCGCGGCATTTAATTTTAGCAATCATTTTTTTCTTAATGTCGTTTCAATTTTCAGAACAAATGTACCTACATATTAACGTTATATTTTTGTCAATGCTGCTTCTCTGAAGCTTTTTACGGTGGCTATACATACATTTTTTTCTTTACGCAAGGATTAAAATGAAATATTAATTTTCAAGTATATCTCTTTAGTAACTTCTGTAAGTAACGCCTGCTTATTTATGAAAATTCATTTGCACTGAAGGATTCTAATAATATATACTATAAGGATTTTAATTTTTCATAGAATAGTTAAACTTTTTACTGTATAATACACGGAGAATTTGTTGACTCACTGTATACTAGTACGATGACACTGGGGAGCCACGGGTTTGGGCTCCGCGAAAATCAATCAATTTTTACTGGTCGTTCAACGTATTTATATACACGATGTGACTTACATATCTGACCGCGAAATATTGAATCAAATATTTGTCTTTTGTGTCATTAAGTCCTGTACCATTTTTCTCAGAACTCTCACCGAGTAGTGCTTATTTAAAACAGCACACGTATATAGTAGCCATCCGGTACAATAAAAAAAAACTATATTGAACTCCATCTTCTAAAAACATGATTCAGAGAAACTTACAAAGGAAGTTCGGTAACCCGAAAATTCCGATTTTTTTTTTAACTTCGCAGGTTTGTAGGAGACCTCAAGAGAAGTATAGCGGAATTTTTGTTTTTGGCCCAGTTTCTGATCCTCAGGGTGAAAACATCCCTTGAAGGTAGATAGGTGTTTCCATATTTCCCTGTATATTTTTAAAACTATCGTAGATATAAAAAAATGGTTATAATAAAAATTGAATGGTTTTTTATGCTCTATAAAACGATGTAATTAAATTGATCAAAATTCTTTATTTAAATAAAAACATCCCCCCCCCAGTTTGATTAATTATCAATTTATCTGCATCGTTTTATAGAGCATAAAAAACCATTCAATTTTTATTATAACCATTTTTTATATCTACGATAGTTTTAAAGATATACAGAGAAATATGGAAACACTTATCTACCTTTAAGGGATGTTTTCACCCTGAAGAACTGAAATTGGGCCAAAAACAAACATTGCGCTATGCTCCTCTTGAGGTCCCCTACAAACCTTCAAAATTTAAAAAAAATCGGAATTTTCGGGTTACTGAACGTCCCTGGTTAAATATATTCCGGTGGATTTTCCGCGTCAGTAGCGTGCAAGAGCCACAAGCGGTAAAATCTCGGGCGTTTAGTTTGCAGTGCCCTTTCCTCCTAGCCTCCGTCTTCGTATAGCTTCATGCAAATGCGGGAGACGCGAAGGGGTTGTAGGGATGGGAAGACACCTCATATGCGACGCGGTAAATCGCATTAGGCTACGGTTATACTGGATGCGTATTCGGACGACTAGCTCGTCCTTTCCGTACGGATGAAGTGATGCTTCGAATTGGTGGTTACATTGGCTGCGTATTCTGACAATCAGTTCCCAGTTCTGTGACACACGTGGTACGAAATGGACATGGATTTGCCTGAATGAACTATTGTCTTCGACGATACTTTATTTAGAATTTTAGTAGCAAACAACAGATTGGAACACGAAACGGCATATTGGTTTCGATCGGTGGATAAACGTGAAAGACTTTTGAATATTTAGAGAAATTGACTAATTTCTTCACTTTCATATCGTAATAATAGGTGCAAAAGATCTGAGAAAATGTATTGTCATAACATTTTAATCGTCGTTGTAAGAGTGTATTGACAAGACATTTTGACTTGCTTGGTAGTTCTAATGTTAAACAAAAAGATGCAATTGCATTTTCCAGATACAGATTCTACTCCACGATTTCCTCTATGGTGTCTTTCGGGGCTTGTCATATGAAACTAATAAATCATGCCTAATGTCTGACATGTGATTTGCATAAAGCTGAGTCTTGAAAAATTCAAGCAGCTGCCTTAACTTACTAGAAAATTCAGATAGAAATTCCCATAGGCATTGCAAACATTGAGGACCCCCAGCGAAGGCGAACGACCATCGCCAAGGCTGGTCTAGTCGATACAGCCAAACCTGTTTAACCAATATTTGTCCCCTACAAAAGAGTCTCCAATTGTAAAGTGCTTTAGGGGTTGTTATGCATCTGTAGGAAGACGTCTTCGGGCAGGAGATTGTATAGTAATCCTTTTCACGTTGCGGTTACTACGTATATTTATCGGTGTAACTAACTTTGTTTTACAGAAAATACGGGTCAGGACGTATAAAATGGTGAAAATGTTCAATTTGAAATATACATTGTAGGTACCTGATTTCTCTTCGTATAGTATAAAATAAAAACCAAATATACAAGAATTAACCACTCATGTTACATTCTATGTAACAGAATTTGTTATTTATTAGTGTAACCCCCACAAGAAATATTAAATGATCGATTATGTAGTAACGGAGTCAAGCTACAGTAAAGTGAAGTGAATGAAAATTATTTTTCATTGAGTTTCTCTACCCGAATAATAATCATATTTTTCTTAAATGTTTTTTGGTACTTACGTTCTACTGTTTTATTTATTACTTTATTCTTTTCTTTAACTGTCCAAGAGGGTTTATTTTCGGCAACTGAACAAACGTGTGAAGATGGAGTTACATACGAATCTAGATAAACTAATTCTCTGTCAAAAACTAATAAATTTTTAGCTTCTAGAAATTAATTCTAATTTTTTATTATAGCAGCAAAAGTAATGTCTAACATTTCCGGAGATTTTTGGAACTCGTTTGAACAATATTTCCCTATTTAGAAAGATTTCCTCTTCCCACGGTCCTTCGTAATATCAACACGAACCGGTTAGCAGATGACAGTGCGCGAACACCGCGTTGCGACGCGTACACGTCGCATGGAGAAATGCGTTCAGCTGATTTTCCTTCTCTTCAAGGTACACTACACCACCTGCATCTCCGTTCCAGTGGGTCAGCTTCGCTGGGGGTCTTCTTTCTGAAGGGGTTACATGGTTTTATACCGAAGGGTCGAACAATACCGGAACAGTCAACTAAGGGGCAGACAGAGCAACGGCAGATTCTTGAAGATTTTGTGTCCTCCGTAAAACGCACCTCTGAGAATAAACGGAAAGACCATCGTGTGACACGTGTGCCTTTGAACCCGCACCTTTTTGTGTCATCGTTTAACTTTAAAAACAGGTCATGCTTCCATTATATGTACAGAAAACCATTCGAGTGTCCTATTCTGATAAGTTTCATAAAATGCTTTTGGTAATCTCTGTATTGTATATGATCATTTATTGTTAGTTAACAAATTTGAATTAAGTATCCTTAGAAAAGGTATTCACTCTTATTAAAAAAATCATCTGTGAGTGTACACTACTCCGCCCACATATATCTCAACGAGTTTTGCGTCTGGTAACTACGGTTTCGCCTATCCTAACGACTTCAAGATAATATTTCACTTACAATTAGTTGGATACGTCAGAGTATACAGAAGAGAGTATGTCATAGTGTCTGCTTTTATGTGGACTTTATAAATATTCATAAATTTTTGTCTGTTGCCTCAGAAAGAATAATAACACGAAGCATAAGAATGGTAAATAATAAAACTGTTATAAAAATATTTTAATCACTTCATATGAGACTCAAACCGAGACATTTTATAATTGGACTTAAATAACGCTTTGTTGTTTAGTAGGAAATTTTAGAGTTGTACTTGAATATAATTTATGTCAAATATTGATACAATATTTTCTAATTATTGTATTCTACTAAAAGTTAATCTAAAATATCTAAATTTTGGTTTACATTTCTTTAATGATTATTTGTATTATTACATTATTGCATTATCAATGTAATGATTACAAATGTTAATTTAATTATCTGCCAAAACAGTCTGAAAAATCATTTTCATTCGATTATACCAAATTGTAAATT